TTACTTTGAGACGCAGTCTCACTCTGTTACCCAGGTTGGAGTGCAGTGGCGTGATCTTGGCTAACTGCAACTTTCACCTCCCGGGTTGAAGTCACTCTCCTGCCTCAGCCTCCTCAGTAGCTGGGATGACAGGCGTGAACTACCACGCCTGGCTAATTTTTTTGGTATTTTTAGTAGAGATGGGGTTTTGCCATGTTGGCCAGACTGGTCTCAAGTTCCTGACCTCAGGTGATCCACGCGCCTCAGCCTCCCAAAGTGCTAGGATTACGGGTGTGAGCCACTGTGCCCGGCATGGACACATTTTTGATTGTCAAGGCGAGAGGGGAGTGTTACTGGCTCCCGGTGGGTGGAGGCCGGGGATGCTGCTGAACATCCCATAGTGCACAGGGCAGCCTCCCACAACAAAGAATGGCCTGGTCCCAGGTGTCAGTAGTGCGGAGGCTGAGAAATCCTGTGTTAGAGGATAAACATCCCTGAAAGTGATGATTGCTGACAGCAGCAGAATTGTGGAGAAATACAGTGGCGTGACTAAGGATGGCAGCGGGTAATGGCTGGGCGGTGTGAGGAGCTCTGGATGTCCCCAGTTTTTGTTGTTGTTGTTTTCTGAGGCAGAGACTCACTCTGTCACCCAGGCTGAGTGCAGTGGTGTGATGTTGGCTCACTGCAGCCTCTGCCCCTGGGTTCAGGCAATTCTCCTGCCTCAGCCTCCTGAGTAGCTGGGATTACAGGCGTGCACCACCATGCCCAGCTAATTTTTGTATTTTTGGTAGAGACATGGTTTCGCCATGTTGGCCAGGCTGGTCTCAAACTCCTGACCTCAGGTGATCCACCTGCGTTGGCCTCCCAAAGTGCTGGGATTATAGGTGTGAGCCACTGTGCCCGGCCTAGATGCCCCAGTTTCTAACCAATTCTTGTATCTCCAGGCCAAAATTGTGCGCAACGCCAAGGACACAGCACACACTCGGGCTGAGCGGAACATTCTGGAGTCAGTGAAGCACCCCTTTATTGTGGAACTGGCCTATGCCTTCCAGACTTGTGGCAAACTCTACCTCATCCTCGAGTGTCTCAGTGGTATGAGTGCGGGCCCAGGCAGGGGGCGGGGTGGGGGCAGGGAGCCAGCACAGGAAGCTCTGGGAGCTCTAGGGGGAAGCTCTGAGAAATGAGTCTGTGGGGGTTGCCTAGGGGGCCCCCAATCCATCTTACCCATCCACCCATCCATTGTTCATTCATCCCATCGTTCATTCATTCATTCAGCAAATGTCTGTCCAGCACCTACTGTGTCCCTCACCTGTGTTGGGGGTGGGTGGCATGGGGGGAATTTGGGTAGAAGGCCAGAGGATGGTTTTGTCTCTTCCTGCCCCCCTCCCTGTCTCGTTCTCTCCTGTGTGCCCTGCATCCAGTCAGGTCCCCAGTCCAACTGGTTCATTCTCTGCAGCACCCTCCTCCATCCATCCACTCTCAGGGGCCTGGTGGGGTGGTCAGAGCACTTTTCTAACTGGGCGGAGGCGTCTCGCTCACCTGCTTTCTAGTGTGTCCTCCACTGACTGCTGAGGTCGTAGAGCCTGGGGCTGCTCCTGGCCCTTCTATTCAGAGTCCCGTGGCTTGCTGCCCAGATCAAGCCTCACCCCTAGGCCCACTGTCCCCCTGCTGGCTGTGAGCAGTCTTGGCCTGCTTTTCCCTTGGTTGGACCAGATGAACCCTGCGAGCCTCTGCCTCCATGCTCTGCATTCGCTCTCGTCCATCTCAGCATCCCCTTCAAGTCCCAGCAAACCTCATTTTCTCTGTTCTGTTGTGCTGGGATTCACTCTGTCTTTCCTGTCTCTTCTGCGAGATCTTTGAGCTAAGCTCCTGGAGCTGTGGCCTGGGCCTGGCATATGAAAGCTGTCGTGTACGTGTCTGTCTCCCCAGTAGATTGAGCGTCCTGAGGGCAGTGGCTGGGTCTCTTCATCCTGTCCCCAGCTTCACCCAGCACAGGGCCAGGCTCCGAGTAGGCGTCGGTAGATGTTTGCTGAATTGAATTGAATTCCCACGGCAGCTGTGTGAGGCAGGTAGGGCGGGAATTACGAGTCCCACTTTCCCCAAGAAGAAATCAAGACTCAGAAAGCGCAAAGGAGCTTGGACCCAGCACTTGGCTGCTGATGTGTTTGTGTGGCAGGTGGCGAGCTCTTCACGCATCTGGAGCGAGAGGGCATCTTCCTGGAGGATACGGCCTGGTGGGTGTTACTCCTCCGCCCTCCCGAGGCCGCCGGGTCCCTGCCCTGCTCCCTCCTTTACCCTGTGTTGTTTCTGCAGCTTCTACCTGGCCGAGATCACTCTGGCCCTGGGCCATCTCCACTCCCTGGGCATCATCTACCGGGACCTCAAACCCGAGAACATCATGCTCAACAGCCAGGGTGTGCATGCGTGCACGTCAGCTGCATGCGGGGTCTGCAATCTGTGGGGAAGGTCGAGGAGCCCGTGGGTGGGGTGAGACCTCGGTCACTCCTCTCCAACATTCTTCCTCAGGCCACATCAAACTGACCGACTTTGGACTCTGCAAGGAGTCAATCCACGAGGGCGCAGTCACTCACACCTTCTGCGGCACCATTGAGTACATGTAAGTGGCGCCTGGCTGGCCCAGGGGTCGGGAGGACAGCCTGTAGGGGCCTGGCCTGACTGACAGTTCCACCTGGACCCCAGGGCCCCTGAGATTCTGGTGCGCAGTGGCCACAACCGGGCTGTGGACTGGTGGAGCCTGGGGGCCCTGATGTACGACATGCTCACTGGATCGGCAAGTCCAGCCCTCTGGGAGGGGGAGGGGCAGGGGCGGGAGGAGCCCCCTCCTGGGGCAGGGCCTGGTGGGAGGCCCACAAGGCTCCTCTCACCTTCCTCCTCCTCCAGCCACCCTTCACTGCAGAGAACCGGAAGAAAACCATGGATAAGATCATCAAGGGCAAGCTGGCACTGCCCCCCTACCTCACCCCAGATGCCCGGGACCTTGTCAAAAGGGTAGGGCTCCCTCCTCTCTTGGGCCCTGCCAGCCATTTTGCAGGGATTCCTGAGTCTCTGGGCTATGGGGAAGCCAGGGCCACACTGGCCTGTGCAGTTTGTCTCTGGGAGTAAAAGGAGCCCCTACCTTGAAGTCTGAGATTTAGCCCTGATCACAGCCCCGACACACACCAGCTGTTGCCCTGGCCCAGTCCCTAGGTTGAGTGCTAACCAGTGACACGCTCGTGATGGGCTGGCCACTCTTCCATCAAATGCGAGCATCAGAGGTGTTGGGGGAAGCCGGGCAGCCACATAGGGAGCTGGCACCTCACCGAAGCGCCCTGAGGCAATGCGGGGGCCTGGGAGGCTGTGCATAGCCCTGTGGAGAAGGTGGCGTCCTTGACCAAACCTTGAAAGTCCCAAGGATCTCCATAGGTGGGAGCCGCACCCACAGGCATTCTGTCTCATGTCATCTGACCTAGCTGGCCCTGGGACGTGGGGACACATGAGCAGTACCTGCCAGGCCCTCACCCTCTGTCCCGGTCCCACAGTTTCTGAAACGGAATCCCAGCCAGCGGATTGGGGGTGGCCCAGGGGATGCTGCTGATGTGCAGGTGGGTTTGGGGCCACCATCGGGTGGGGCTGAGTCTCCAAGGGTGCCGGGAATGGGAACAGGGCCCTAGGGCAGAGTGAATGAACAAAGAGGTAAGCGGGGCTAGCCGTTAGTGGGTTTGGGGCATTCTTTACCCACAGAAGCACCCCTTTTTCCGGCACATGAATTGGGATGATCTTCTGGCCCGCCGCGTGGACCCCCCTTTCAGGCCCTGTCTGGTGAGCAGCTGGCCTGGTGGTGGGTGGCTGATGGATGACCTGCGCCTTGGTGCCTTCTGACCCCTTCCCACTCTGGTCGGCCCGTAGCAGTCAGAGGAGGATGTGAGCCAGTTTGACACCCGCTTCACACGACAGACGCCGGTGGACAGTCCTGATGACACGGCCCTCAGCGAGAGTGCCAACCAGGCCTTCCTGGTGAGGGTGGGGACCTGGGGCCTGCGGGACGAGGGCAGGGATCGTGGCTGAGGATGGCGGGTGCTGAGTGTCTCCTGGCCCTGCCTCCGCCCCCAGGGCTTCACGTACGTGGCGCCGTCTGTCCTGGACAGCATCAAGGAGGGCTTCTCCTTTCAGCCCAAGCTGCGCTCACCCAGGCGCCTCAACAGCAGCCCCCGTGCCCCCATCAGGTACTGAGGGACAGGGGGTGTGTGGCTGGGGCAGGGGCACTAACAGCAGGATGCCAGCTCCAGCCTTGGGTGCCTTGGCCACGCCTGTCAGCCAGTGTTGGCCTCGGTGGCTGTGTCTACCATGAGGACTCCAGTCCCTGTACCCCTTGCGGCCAGGCTACCTGGATGGGAGCCTGTGTGCCCCAGCAGGTGGGAAAGGCTGCCTTCCCTGATCAAGTGCTGGCAGGCCCTGGCAGGGCGTAGGAGGCTCTTACTCTGCCTTGGTTTCCCCTGCAGCCCCCTCAAGTTCTCCCCCTTTGAGGGGTTTCGGCCTAGCCCCAGCCTGCCAGAGCCCATGGAGCCACCTCTACCTCCACTCCTGCCACCGCCGCCACCACCACCGCCACCCTCAATTACCGCCCCTCTCCCCATCCGTCCCCCCTCAGGGACCAAGAAGTCCAAGAGGGGCCGTGGGCGTCCAGGGCACTAAGAGGCTGGGTGGGGTGGAGGGCCACCCTTGAGCCCTGTCCCTGCAGCTGTGAGGGCAGCAGGATCCTGGGCCAGTTCCAGAGACTTGGGGGTGGGTGTGCCTGTGAGTGTGTGTGTCTGCTGGGGCGGCTGGGCCCCTGAATCGTGAGCACAGAGGGCTCCAGGCTACGACTGCTGGGGCCAGGACCCTGCCGCCCACCGCCCCGCACTCAGCTGTTCCCATGGAAGATTAAAGGGCTGAATCATGGCGCTGACCTGGCTCTTTCCCCTGCACTCCTGGGGGCAGGGGTGGGTTGGATCGAGGGAGAAGTCTCTGTAGGACCACAGGGCCACAGGCTAGAGGGGTTTTATTTCAAATGGTTGCCTGATGCCTCTGGGATTGGGGGTAGAGGCCTTCCCGTGGTGAGTGGGGGGACACCTGGACTTGGAAAATGATTGGGGTGGCAGTCTGAGGCATAGCCATGTGGGCTGGGGGTCCAGTCCAGCCATGGCATCTTGGGAAGCAGGGGCACAGGGGTTGAGCAGCCGTGACAGGGACAGGACACCAAGACCGGCCTCTACAGTGCGGTGACATGGAGGCCCTGGGCCCCAGCTGCCCTAGCACTGTCGTCCCAGGCTGCGCTGCCAGCAAAGGCATGCAGGTCACTCAGCAGGGCCTCAGCACTGCCCCCTGCGCTCGCCGGCCCTGGGGGGCTGAGGACCAGGTCCCCCTCTGCGTCACTGTCTCTGGCTTCCTCAGCATGCACAGGGACCTGCTCCGGGCTGGGCGCCTCTCCACACCGCTGCTTGCCTTCCCCGGGGTCAGCCTGCAGGCCACCATCCGTGACGTTGTCATAGTCTGCATCCTGCTCATCCTCCTGACACTCAAGGTCATTGTCTGGGGACCCCAGCTCAGCTCGGGCCTGCAGCCAGCGGCCTGGGGGGCTGGCCCAGAGCAGGCGCTGCGTGCGGCCCCACAGCGCAGCACCCAGGCGGGCTGGGTGGTAGTAGCCCCCTGAGTCACGGCTGAGGCGGCGCCAGGCCAGTGCCAGGCCAGTGGCCAGTAGCAGGAGCAGCAACAGCAGCAGAACAACGGTGACAGAGCTGGAGCCCACGCCGTCCTCCTCAGCGCCACCAGAGCCCAAGGCCCCTGGTAGGGCCAGCAGCATCCCGAGCCCTAGGGCCCAGGGCAGAGCCTGTGGGAGACAGGCAGGGGCTCAGCACCGGGGGTCGGGGCCCCGTGTGGGGCAGGCTGGGTGACCAAGACCACTTGCCTTTTTTGTCTTCTGGATCCTCTTGGGACAGCCAAGCAGAAAAGCCCAAGGCCTTATTTGGTCAACCAAGCTCTGGCCCGATGAGATCAGCCCCCATCCCTCCAACCTCCTCCCTACCACTGCACCTCCCCCACTGCTGCACTGAGCCGCCTGCCTGGGTACTTTGCACTGGCTGTTCCCTCTGCCCGGAAGACTCCACCTTCCCCACCCTCCCCTCCCCGGGGCTATATGGCTGTTCACGAGGCTCAAATTTCACACCCCCCCACCCCGCCCCTGTGAGGCTGAACCTGACTTTCATCTCTCCCCTGATGTTGATCCCTGCAGCCCATCCCAGCACCCCCTGCACTCACACTGCCTTTCCTCTCCCATGCTGCCTAATGCAGGAGATAATTGTACTAATTTTGTATGTCTATCGTCCTATCTACCTCCCACAATAAGTTGCTAGGCGACAGGGGCTTTTTGGGTCAAGCATGTTAGTAGGTGCTCAGTAAGTATGGGTTAAATGTGTCTAGGCTGCCTGGGTGGGTGGGGGAGGAGAGGGCGGGAGGGAAGGAGGCTGCTAGCTGGTGTCAGGCCTGGGGTGGGGGATGGAGGGGCCTAAACCCACCTGGAGGCAACTGCTCATCCTCTGCTTGGCCAGGTCCCCAGCCAGGGGTCCGTGAGGCCCCTCTTCCTCCCTCCCACCATGGGGCTGCCCCAGCTGCAGGGTTTCCGTTCCACTCCCAGTCCCTGGGGGCCCCAGGCGAGAAGGGCCGGGGGCTGGTGCAGCTGCCAGAGGAAGTCTGCGGTCGGAACAGGCTAGATGGGGGGTGTCGGGGGAGGGGTGCTGAGGTACAGCCAGCCCCCCCGCCCACCCCAGGCTGTCTGCCCAGGCTCCTGGAATGCAAGTTCCTGCTCACCAGAAGACCAGGTGAGGGCCTTCCCAGGGTTCCTGAGGGGGGTCTGGCCCAGTGTGGGGTGCTGGGGGCCATACCCGGAGTCCCAGGGAGCCCAGCTTAGGTGAGAGAAAGGCCCGGCCTCTGCCATACTCCTTTTAGGTTTCACCTCTGACCCAGGGCCAGTGTGGGGCCCTTCTCAGCTCCTGGTACCCAGACATTCCAGCCCCGACACCCTGTGGCCCCCATCCCAAGAACCCAGGGGCTCCAAGGCTCACCATTGGTCCACAGGCCCCTCTGCGCCAGGCACCCACCTCCAGCTCTGTCTGTGTCGAGCGAGAAGTGAGCTCAGTGCTCGCCTGCAGCGACGGGTGGCCTGTGTTTCCGCTTCCTGCCCGCAGTACCCCACTTGCCCCTCCCTGCTACAGGACCCCTGGTCCACACCAGACCCTCCCGGGTCTCTCCAGAGGCGGCTGGGCTTCAGGGCCTGTCCTCTGAGGGAGAAGCAGCACCAGCTTGAAGCTGAATGCAGCATGTGTGCTCAGGTCCTCTGCCTCAGTTTCCCTGTCTGACAACCCAGGGCAGCCATGTGTGAGGCTGCTCACTGGCCCCACACCTTCGGCACATGCGTGACTCATGTGACATCATCTGTCTCCAGGTTTCCAGACTTCCCAGCCCCACCCTCCAGCGGCAGGTCAGCCTGGCTTTTAAAAAGAGAATTTTATTTTGGAATGAAAATATAGAGCCCACCCTCCCGCTTCCTCTGGGGAGGGAGTTCTGGGCCGTGGTGAGGGGGATGGTCCCTCAGAGGTCGAGGAGCTCGCTTGGGCATAGAAATCCTCCACAGCAACAATGAGGAAAGCTGGGTGGTGGCTTCGGCCTGGGCCTGGTATGGGCCCGGGTGGGAACTGACCCCTGCTGCCTCAGAGGCCCTGGGCAGCCAGCCAGCCAGCCCGGTGCCACCAGCCAGCAGAAGCTGAGTGGGAAGGGGGCGGAGGAGATGAAGGTGGCACATGGCTGTGGCCCTAGGCATCCCCGTTCTCCATGCGGCCCAGCTGTTCCTCCAGGCGGCAGATGCGCTCCCCCTGCTCCTTGACCAGCGCCCTCAGGGCCTGCAGCTCCTGCATCACCTCCTCCAGCTTCCCAGCCTCCTGTGGGGACGTGAAGGGGTGGGGGGAGGGCGTGCTGGTCAGGGGCTGCTAAGCCACAGACCTCCCAAACCCACCACCACCCCAGAGAGGGACAGCAAATGGCCCAGGGCCACATGTGGGGCTCCTAACACCACCCCTGCCTGGGGGTGCATACCCTGGCTCTGGCCAGGCTGCCACTGGGGGTGGCATCAGTAGCAGTGGTGGCGGATGCAGGGGCCCCAAGGCGGGAGGAGCCTGGGGCCACCGCGGGCCGGCTGTCAGACAGCACGTTGCGCCGGCTGATCTTCAGGTCCCGCTGCTTGCTGGGCACGTAGGCCTCCCGCAGAGAGATGAGGATGGGGTCAGCGTCCCGCCCGCTCACCCACTCCTCAGCTTCCAGGGCTGCCTCGGGCCCGGCCGTGTCCGGGTACAGATCATCCTGGAAGAGGTCCGACTGGGCAGCGGGCCAGGGAGGTCAGGATCAGTCGGGAGGCCCCATCAGGGTCCCTCATCACTCCCTGGCCCCAGGCTTACACTCTGTCAACCCACTCTCCCACAGCCTGGCCCCGAGGGACCTTTCTAAAGCTCAAATCTGGCCTTTCACTTCCCTTCTGGACACTGTCAACAGCTCCCTCTAAAGCTTTCCCGCCCTTCCTGGGCAAGGCCCCTGTCACTACCTTCCCCTGCAAGCCACAGGGGCCACTATGTGGCTTTGTGGGATTCTGGGGCCATGGACTGTGAGCTCCCACAGCAGGCCCCATCAGCTCAGCTCCGCTCCCCGAAATATGCCTGGCACGCTGAAAGAGCACTTGGCCAGTGCTGGCTAGAGAATCATGGAAGCATGTTCAAGGCTCTGAGCGGGGCATCTGAGGCCAAGCCACATGTGGCCCGGTCCCTGCTTCATGAGATTTCCCACTGCAGCTAGACTCCCTGTTCCTCTCTCCATTCCCACCACCATGACCTTTGTCTGGCCTGTCCCAGTGGAAGGCGCCACCCCAGCTGTGCTTCCTGCCTCCTTCAGGAAGATCTCTGTGGCTGCCACTCCCTCCCTGACTGCCTGGTGACCTTCTCCTGTGGCTTGTTCAGGGCAGGGCCCCTGCTCACCCTGTGTCTCATCCCCACTTGCCCCCTGCCTGGCACAGCCCCACAGGTGGCTGGTACAAGGGCAAGCTGGCATCTGTCCAGCTCACTGCCCACAAACCATACTAGGTCATGTTCCATTGACCTGGTCACAACTGCATGGCCTGCCTGCTAGAGAAAGGGGCAAGTGAGCAGAGGGACGGGTGGCCTCACCTTTCTTGGCACAGTCATGACAATGGGCTCACACTTGCGCTCATGCAGTTTGTAGAACCTGGGGACGCGAGGAGGAGCCATGGGTGGAACCCCTTCGCCCCCTGCTCTCCTGGCTCCCGGCATCCTCCACTTTCAGTCGTCACCCCCAGACCTCCACAGGCTGACCCCTAAGGCAGCTAGACCCCCCACCCAAGCTGCCTCATGACAGTTCCTGTAGCCCGCCCGGCCTCCCTGCTGCAAGGCTTCCTACAGGCCGACCCTGACCCCAAGGCCCCTGTGGCGGATTCTGCCCCCGAGCAGCCTCCATGGCCTGACCTCTCACCTTGGAGGCCCCTGGCCTGGCCCTGTCCCGGAGTGGCCTTGGTGGCCCTCTTACCGGGCGATCTCACACTTGCTGACCTCCAGGCCCCGCTTAGGCATGCTGCCCATGCCCCGCTGGGGCTCCTTGCTGGTGAATGTGTTCAGGAAGTGGATGTAGGGGGGCTCCTCGGTGATCTCAAAGTACCGGATGCTGGAGTCACCCTGTGTGGGGAGGGGGCTCAGCACCGGGGCACGCCTCTGCCCTGCCCCTTGGCAGCCCTGCCCGCCCCCACCTTGCCGCAGACGTAGACCACGCTGGTGTCGGGGTCGTAGAAGGGCAGCAGGGCCCCGTTGCTCGAGTCCAGTTCCTGCAGGGCCATGGGCTCCTCGAGGTTTTCCTGGCACGTTGCGGGTAGTCAGGCCAAGCAGAACCTCCTCACCCCCTGATCCCAGACCGCACCAGGACAGGCCTTAGCTGGCCTTACTGAGGCCAACCAGCCTGTCCCCTAAATGCAGGTGGGCTCTCTCCCACCTCTATGCCTTTGCCCACACGAAGACCCCCACCCGGCCCTCCTGGACCCACTTCATTCCCAGGGCCTCTCTTTCCCAGCCTCCTCCAGGCCTTAAGACTATGCCCAGGCCACGGAGCAGTGCTGAGACATACCCTGCCATGGGGGACCCCGGGTGCCAGCAGCACCAGCCCCTGCTTAAGGGGTCCTAGAGGTTACTATGCAGAAGCAGAGAGGGCTGGGGGCCAGGGCGATTCTCGTGCAGGGCCGGGAGGCTTTCTGGAGGAGCAGGGAGGCTGGCACTGGCAGCTGGGTAGTACAGGCAAGCAAGGGAGAGAAGGGGCCTTCCATTGGCATGAACAACATGGGCAAAGACACGGGCAGTGGGAGGCCATGGGGGAGTGGTGGGGCAGTTGGGTGAGCAGGGATCAGGAGAGGAGAGGCTGACCCCTCAAGTGTAAGGCAGAGAACCTAGGAACCACAGGCCTCTCCAGGGTGAACCCTGCCTGCCCAGCCCAGGGCGGAGCTCCCCAGGGTCGGGCCCACATCTCCAGCTTGCCCCTCAGGCTGGCCACTCACGGGGTCCCAGAGCGCCAGCTGCCGCTCACTCATTCGGCTGAAGCCTGTGGTGAACACCTTGCCGTCGGCCAGGAAGATGGCCCGCATGGGCCGGGCACCCTCGTGAGCCTTCTCCCGCTCCTGTGGGGGGACAGGCTGGTCAGTGCAGTGTCCCACGTGAGGCCCTGGGCCCATCCACAGCCATCCTTGCCCTTGGGGGCCACGTACTGCCACCAGGGTGCCCCGGCGGGGGTCGATGATGCGCACGCTCTTGTCCTTGCATGCTGAGCAGAAGAGGCTGCCGTTGCAGTTCCAGCTGACGTTGTAGATGAGGTCAGGGTGCAGGCCGTCCAGGCGGTACAGCTCCTCCGCCGTGCCCACGTTCCAGATGAGTACCACGTTGTCACAGCCTGGCAGGTGAGGGCCATCAGCTCGGGCCGGGCGGGCGGCAGGAGGCTATTAGCTCACTAGGCCCATTCTGCCCACCACCCTGGGACAGACCGGGTCTCCAACTCTGAGGGCCTCAGCTTTCCCCTCTATCAGGTGGGCTCTGGAGGGGCTGCTGGGATGTATGGAGGGGTGGGGGGGGGCAAATGGAGGGCGGTGCACACCTGCACTGAGCAGCACATTTCGGGCTGTTGGGTGCCAGGCAATGATGCCCACCCGCTTGGTGTGCCCCTCTAGTACCACCACCGGCTCCGTCAGCGGGGAGGTCAGCCCGTTCTCTGGGATCTGCCACACCTGCGGTAAGGACAGGGCCACTGGGCTCAGTCCTCTGCTGGCCCTACTGCTGGTCCCCTTGAGCCACACCTGTGACCCTGGCCCAGCCAGTCTGGTGCCTCACCATGACCGTGCAGTCCTCTGAGCCGCTGGCGATGACTTCGTCATTGTGGGGACACCAGTCGATGTCCAGGACAGGCCCCGTGTGCCCGCACACCGTCGGGTAGGCCTTGTCAATGCGGCCCGTCTGTGGGCACGAGGAGGTGGTCAGTGGGCTCCACTCCTCCCAGAGCCTTGGTCTTCCCCTCCATGGAGTGGGAATGGCGTGCAAGTCCTGGCTCACAGGTAGCCCTGATGTGACTGTGCCCCACTCGCCAGGTAAGCAGGAAATGTCTGTTGCCTCTAATCCTGACTGTGGCGACAGGCCACTCTCTGTCTGTACTAACACTTGAGACAGTAAATCTGGGTTATAACGCCTGCCCAGCAGTGTGAGAAAGGGCAAGATAAGGGGTTCCAGGTGTGCAGAAAGGCCCAGCAGGGTGGCTCAGGTGCCTCCTCTTCCCCCAACCCTGACAGGACCCACCTTGCTTAGGGGGAGCACCAGAAAGGCACCCCCACCACTGGCTTCCACAATCACTGCCAGGAACTTGGGGTTGACGGCGCAGAACGTGCTGTCCCAGGTAACACGGGACACGCGAATGTCCTCATAGCATTGGTCGTTCTTGACCGGCTGCCCAAACACATGGCGGAATTTGCTCTGCCGGACCACTTTGCGGAAGGACATGTCTGCGGGACAGGGAGGCCTGGGTCAGCGCGGCCCATCCCAACAACCCCAGCGCCCACCGGGGGCCGGGCCACCATCACCCTCCTGGGTCTCAGTTTCCCCAGTTTCCCCAATTACAGAATGGGGTCACAGGTGCAGAGCTTGGCAGTGATCTGAGGGGTAAATGCACTGCCCGGCTCTGACCACCGCTGAGTCCTGAGGGGCTTCACAGGATGCAGGGCCCCTCCCTGGCTCTGGTGTGTGTGCGGGGCGGGAGGTGGGAGGTGGGAGGTGCCGGGGCTGGAGAGCACTCAGTTCTGCTGTAGGTCCCAGCCAGTCGGAAGCAGCCTCCTTCCTGCCTAGAGATTTGGAGGCTGGGTAATGGGAAAGAGAGAGGAGGCAGGAAAGGTCTCTTTACTGTGGGGCCGAGTGAGGCCCGGGTTCTGAGTCCCAGGGAATGTGCGGGGAGCCCCGGCATGGCCCCCAGGAGGGAACCGGGGTCGGGACGCAGCTGCCGGCCGCGAAGCAACCCAGAGCGACCTTGTATCAGGGTGCAGGGTGAACTATGAGCCCAACTTCCAGGGAACGTCGCCTAGGAGAGGAGAGGCTGGGCGGCCAAGGGGAGTGGGACTAAGAGTGGGGCGTAGGGTAGGGGAAGGGTTTCTGGGACCCGCAATCCCCCCTCAGCCCCGCCCCTGCAGCCCCGCCCTCGCCCCCAGCCCCGGCCCTGCAGCGCTCACCGGGGTCGCCGGGGGCTGCGGCACCGACTTCGGGCGGCTCCGGATCCCGGCCTCTGGGAAGCAGGAAGCGGGATTCAGGAAGTGACAGAGGGACCCGGGGCGGGGGCGGGGCAGGGGCTCGCAAGGGGGGGCCGAGGTCACGCGCGAAGGGGCGGGGCGTGAGGCTGAGCCACGCGGGGGCGCTGGGAGCGGGGCCGCCGGGGGCGGGGCCAGGGAGAGCCCCGCCCCCAGGACCTGCTGGGGAGCCAGCCTCTGCAGCCCCTTGGGAGGGACGGGGCGGGGCCGACGGCGTCCGCCACGGAGGCGTCGCAGGTGCGGGTGCAGCCTGGCCGCAGACCCGGGCTCCTTCGCCGTCCTCCTCCTCACAGTGGCATCCGCAGGAGTCTCCAGGATTGGGTGAGGTCCCGCCTTCCTGGCCCCACCCCCCCGAACGCACACCTCCAAGGCGCCCCATTGCGGCCCCCAACAAATGTAGAATCTACACGGACAGTGGATATGTTCACGTGCCTCTTTTTAAGTTATAAAAGTTCATGCTCTTGGTTAACAATGTAAACAAAACAGCAGGTGTTGGGATTTTTTTTTTTTTTTGAGACAAGGTCTAGACAGGCTAGAATTCAGTGGAATGATCATAGCTCACTGCAGCCTCGACTTCCTAGGCTCAAGGGATCCTCCTGCCTCAGCCTTCCAAGTAGCTGGGACTACAGACCCTCACCACCACGCCAGGCTAATTTTTCTTTACTTTTTGTAGAGACGGGGTCTCTGTCACCCAGGCTTTTTTCGTGTGTGTGTGTGTGTGTGTGACGGTGGTTTATTCTTGTCACCCAGGCTGAAGTGCAATAGCACGATTTTGGCTCACTGCAACCTCTGCCTCCCAGGTTCAAGTGAGTCTCCTGCCCCAGCCTTCTGAGTAGCTGGGATTACAGGCGCCTGCCACCACGCCCAGCTAACTTTTTTTTTTTCCCCAGAGACGGCGTATTGCTCTGTTACCCAGGCTGGCGTACAGTGGTGGGATCTCGGCTCATTGCAACCTCCGCCTCCCACATTCAAGCAATTCTGCCTTAGCCTTTGGAGTAGCTGGGAGTATAGGCTCCCGCTGCCATGTCCTGCTAATTTTTTGTATTTTTAGTCGAGATAGGGTTTCACCATGTTGGCCAGGCTGATCTCAAACTCCTGACCTCGGGTGATCCACCCACCTTAGCCTCCCCAAGTGTTGGGATTACTGGTGTGAGCCACTGCACCCATTCAGCAAACAGCAGAGCTTTATGGAGTAGAAGACCCAGGGGTCTAATTCTTCTGGGTGAACACTTGTGCATTCTGCCGAACCTTCTTATTACAATTCCAAAAGGGCCATGGCTGACAAGTCCCTTGCACCTTGCCTTCTTTCCTCCACCATCTCTGGAGATCTGTCCAGAGGCCTCTCTCTTCCTTTAGCCAGGTCCTGTGACAAGGAGCCCAGACTGGCCTCTCCAGATCCACCCCAACCTGTTCCACAGGTGAAGTGCGCCCCCTCCCTTAGGCCAGCGGCCCCTTCCCTTATTCCTTCATTGAGCATCCACTGCCCTGGCTGACCAATGGCACTGTCCCTTTCCCAGAAAGAGAGGGGTGGAAGAGGAAGGCAGGGAGAGCAGAAACCACAGGAGCCTTGTCTCTGGCTACAAGAAGCGCCCCCCTGTGTGTCTGAGGGTGACCTGGGGCTTGTTCCCCATCTCACTCCCATTGCCACACCTGGTTGAGGAAACAGGCACAGAGATGTGCGGTGCTTGCCTGAGGTTACCCAGCCCGATGCAATCCCCTTCGGCTTGGGTCCAAAGTCCTTGCTTTTCCTACTGCTCTGTAAACCCTGGGGCTGGAAGGATCATATAGATGATCCCACCCCAAGGCCTGGCCACATCCTGTTCTCTCCGTCTGGAAACGCTTCCCTCCAATCCCAATGAGGCTCCATTCCCCACTCGCTCCAGGCCTCTGGTCACCTTCTCCTAGGGCTCTCCCTGCCCACTCCTTACCCAGCCACTCTCTGGCCCTTACTTGTCCTGACTGCATTGTTCTTTTTTTGGAGACAGGGTCTCGTTCTGTTGCCCCGGCTGGAGCACAGTGGTGCGGTCCTAGCTCACTACAGCCTCACTTTCTGGGGCTCAGTCCTCCCACCTCAGGCTCCCAAGTAGCTGGGACTACAGGCATGCATCGCCATGCCTAGCTAATTTTTATTTTTGTAGACACAAAAATATGTTGCCCAGGCTGGTCCCACACTCCTGGCCTCAAGCAGTCCTGCCTCAGCCTCCCAGAGCTCTGGGATTACAGGTGTGAGCCAGCACCCACCTGTGTTCTTCTCCAGTGCCCCAATGTCCTATCAGGTACTTATTGGTGTATTTGTTCATGTCAGCCTCCACCAGGATGTCAGCAAATTGAGGGTAAGGCCTTTGCCTATTTTCCTGCAGTATTCCCAGCACCTAGAGCAAGACCCAACACGCAGTATGGGATCAAGTAATGTATGAGGAATGAAATGGATAAGCAGCAACCCTGAATATAGAATTGAACAATATTCATAATCACAACTCTCAGAATCAATGTCTGGTGCCCATGAAGGAGAAGGAAAGAAGGGCATCTCTCACCTGGAGAAGGAGTGAGTCTCCCAGATGGCAGCAGGAGCCTGGCCCCCCTGGGATGTGGCAGGCAGGAGGTCGGGGCTGGGCAATGTCTTGGAGGTAAGCCCACCTTCATGCCCATTTTCTCCAACACAAAACCCTCCTCCGTGGGCCACTAGTGTGATATTGTGCTGGCCTAGAGCCAGAACCGGAGCAAAACTATTTTATAAAATGCAAAACTGTTTTTAGGTAAGTTGAAATGGCTGCCCCATTCTCCTTACAATAACTGCTGTCCTTGGCCTCTGTAAATAGAACTGCCAGTTTGTTCCTCAGAACTATGTAATGCTGCTTACCTTTTCTTATCAGTAACTGCTAAAATCTGTGATGTGTAAACAAATGTATATCTTGACTTCTGTAAACCACTGAGGTGAATCACAGAATCCCCTAGCCCTTGGAATGTCCGGAGACCCC